ACTTAGAGGGTGTTTGGAAGCATCCAAAAGTGCTTTTCAGAAGTACTTTTTTTGTAAAACAGATAAACTCTTCCACATATTTACTTTGTATACTATAAAAGTACTTTTAAAACTATGATTTAATTTCTATCCAAACACCCCCTTAGTTAGAAGAAGCAAAATCCAGTTCGGTTATTTCCACATTTCAAGAGAATTAGTCTCTGATTATTGGTTAGGGGATACCGCCTAATTTTCTACCAAAAAGATTGGCATGAATGTATTTGATTAGGTAAATGTGGATAACGAGTTTACAGTGATCGAATCTTGGCTCTAATAACGCATACTAGGTACTCAACAAGATAATAACTTTAAGTTTTTTTAAAAAAAAATACTATAAATGCTATATTATTTTTTCAACATTTAAACTTTGTTGATATATTTATATGTCCAGTAAAAAATTAGAAGTTTGAAAATAAAATTGAAAAAAAATAATGAAATATGTGTGGAGAAATTTAAAACAATAAAATAAAGAAAAACTCATGGAGGTTGATAAGAAAGCCAAATTGTTCATATCTCTCAATATCTCTATCTAGTTTTTAGGCTTCATATCGATGCTGCATATTGTTAGTTTTTGTTCCTTTTTTTGATTTCTTAATATAATCTTTAGTCTCTCAAATTTACATGAATTTTGGTTTTAGTTCCTTGAATTTTAAATTATAAGTTTTGATCCTTTAAGGAGCAAAATAATCTATTCTTTAATTATAGAGACCAATATTTTAAATAGAAAGAATTTGAGGAACCAAAACCTATAGTTTAAAATTTAAAAAAATCAAAATCAAAATAAAAACCAACTTAAAGAATAAAAAATTATATGAGCCCTTCTTCCTTTTGGGAGAGGAACAGGCCCAGAAATAGATGCACAACCTATAATTCCTATAATTCCTGTACTAATACTAAACAAATTAAACCTCCAAATTTTTTATAAAAAAATAAGTAAAATTGAAAGAATATAGGGAAAATGATTAAAAAAAGACTATAAAAATAACAAAATCCCAAATCAACTATTCTTACAAAAATACGTTGTTATTTACAAGGTAAGTGATGTCAAAATCTATTAAAGTGTGTTAACAAATCTTGATTTGGGATTTAGTAATTTTCAAGGTCCTTATTTGTCATTCTCCCAAGTATATAATAAACTTTATAGAAAATCATTCTATATAAATTATAAATAATGCGACTTATGTCAAATTCACGCAAAACATGAGGCTCAAATATTATAGGTGTCCAAATTTCATACATACTCATATACTGGACTTGTATATGCTAATTATCTAGCAGTGAATTCAGAACCCAATGAATCAATCAAGCACAACTCATCATTTTATTTTTCAGCTCATCCCTGAGACATAAGTGCTTTGTTTTTTAATTACAAATTAGGTAATCAGGCTATATATATTATTAGTATTTATTAAAATTAAAGCACCGTATAGCTGACTAGCTGTATCATTAAGCTCATTGCACTCTCATTCTATCTCTGAATGCCGTTGGCTCGGTGAGTTTAGGTTTTATGAGGTCTGGAACAGTTAGTGATTTGGATTTCATTTTTTATAAATTTCCATGTAAGTCTTGGGAAGTTTCTGACACTTGGGGATAATAATAAATGATTTGGATTTTATTTTTGAAAAAAAAAATTTATGCCTAAAAGAGTACAGTCCAGATAATTACAAGAATGCCATTTAATCACTGTATTAATGGCATATTCAAACATGATTAATTAATTTCAGGCTTATATCTATATAAAGGGCCGAGTATTCTCACCTGGTCCTCACTCGCTCTAGCTCAATATCATTCCTGTTATTAGTGTGAGTATAGATCATCAGTATATGCAGCAATTTGTGGGCAAAAAATCGAGAGAGAAAGGAGCCTTTTAGAGTATTTCATGCAAATGCTTGCTATTTAATGAATAATTTTGAATGTTTTTCATTTGTTCTTCATTCAATGTTGTGTATGTAGGGCTTCGATCTTAAGTTGGAAGAAATGGAGGGATCAGGCTCAGGAAAGAGAGGTGGAGAGAATTTGCCCCAAACTGCTCCTCGATCCAGCCAAAGAAGACCCAGAGAGGAGAACCCTAACCCGGAAAACCCTGAAATGTTTGTTGAGGCTAACTTGCAGACCCAGCCCCAGCAGGTTCAAGGTGGTGGTGAAATGGAACCAGCTGATCTGAGAGCGTACGTTTTTGGTTTCAGGCCTAATCATTTCTTTTACAGCTAAATCAACGCATTATATCTGTTGTGATGATTATAATCATGGTAACAAGTGTGTGTGTTGAAGGGTTGCAGTCGTTTGGCTAATCGAAGATATTCAGAAACATTTCGTCACAGAAGGCAGTATCATATGCAGCAGCTTGAAGCTCAAGTGACAAGTTTGGAGGTGATTAAAAAGCTCTCAATTACATGTGTGGGCATGGCATAGCTTCCAGCTTTAATTTATTGCTAACCCCCCCAAAAAAAATCAAACGGTTTGAATAGTGTTTGTATTTGGCACTTCCATAGGCACAAATTGCACAGAACGACATGGAATATCAGAGACAAACAACCGGGAGGTTACAATACCAAAATGAAATTGAAGCCCTGACGAGAAGGCGCGAGGACACTGCAGCCAACGTCCGGGCCAGGAAAGGTTTTTGTCCCGCTGAATAGTCTTTTTTCTTCTTTTTTTTTGGGGTTCTTTTATGTTGAAATCCTCTCTATTAATTTTGGTGCAACTAGTAACTAATAATATGATCAATTTTCAGCGGAGACAGAGAAGATTAAGGCAAAGATAGAGAGGTTGGAGAAGGAGATGGAGGCTGAGGATGAGGAAATATTAAACATTATGAGGACTAACCCTGCTTTCGACCTTTATGACGATACTTTTAAGACCATTATTGACGCTGCAACCCCACCATTCCCTGGAAATCCACCACCACATAACCCTGCTCCTGCTGATGATGAAGCCGGACCCCCCGAAGCCAATGATTCGTCGTCCGATGATCCCATGTGAATGAACTGTGTCACCAATCTAATTATATTATCAGCACAATGATTTCAGCTGTTCGCTATTCTACCAATGTCTCTCTGTCTATCTACCTTTCTGGGTTTCGATATTTAGCAGTTATCTGTGCTTGCTTGTCTTAAGTAACATTTCTGGTTTTATGGATGTGATGAATAATTTAGCTTTGTAGTCGTTTTGAGTTACTGAATAAAGGTTATATTTGTTGCTGTTCTATTATGTCCTCTGCGTTGTAAAGAAAGGCTACATGTGTTGAGTTCTGAAAAGAGCTAATAAAAATGATGAGTTGATGACATCCTTCCAATCCTTGATTCGTTATCTCGGGCATGAAACAAGAACAACATAAATTCAATGGAATCCATTTCCCAAATCCCGTTCCGTAAAATGGGATTCTGCGCACTTACTTTTCACTATCATGAGTTTTGAATCAACAAAGATTCAATACAAGTATCACCCTTTTGCTTGGTATATTCCCTCGTATAAATAATAAGGAAATAAGTTAACCCAGGAATTTAATTCCACATTGCAATTATCGATAGGGAGATTTACTCGTAATGCAATCTCGAATTAAAAAAAGACCATCACCTCTCTTAAATTAGTGAATCTCCGTGGAGTATGGCTGGTTTACTTCCCTGGATCGCCACACCTCCTTTAAAAGAAAATTATTAAATAGGAGTTATTGCATGTTTATCACAAAGAGTTGTCCACGTGCAGAAGCTGATTTTTCAGAATTGAGAAGGACCGAAAGAGAGGATCTTAGGAGGGCCCAAATCGAGGTCAGAGACCTCAATCCATGGTTTATAAACGGGCCCAATTATTGACATAGAGAGGACCGAATCTCCTTCGTTGAATCGACATAATAAAAGTCGTTGTAGAGATAGATGCAAGTATATCTCCTTCATGCACAATTCATATTCATATTTTCTCAAAAACAACAAAGACAGACCACGTGTGATTAGACATGCACAATTCATAGATGGTGTGTGTGTGTGTGTAGGATCCCGGTGCTTCTCCAGATCTTGAGGCGATATATATATATATATATATATATATATATGAGATGGTCACGACTGATGCTTATTCATGGTGACCGTTTCAATGAAGAAGATGTGCCAGATTTGGAGGAAGCGGTTGAGCAAAAGAACAAGAAGAGGATAAAGGATGGTGGACATGAGGAGGAGGGAATTAAAGAAGGAAGAAACAAAGAAAACGATGGTGTTTATCAATCTAATTATTAATCCATATCACGTGCCCAACTCAACCTCATGACTCATCATCATGATCAATCCAAACCATAGAAATTCATGCTTGTTCATACTTTTTCCATCTTTCCATTCTTAGCCGCAAATCTGCATGTTGAGAAGGCCGCGTTGGACTCTTGAAATTGAGAATCTTTTATATTAAAAAAAAAAACTTACAGACCGACGTAAATTATACCAACCAATATATGTTTAATATTTTATCATAGCTTTTTTTTTAATCAGAACCAAGATTTTTACTCAAGCATATAATTGATATATCAATATGGTCCAAAAAACAAAGATATGTCAATATATAATAAAACACATCTTGTTTCAGCACAAAAGAAAGAAAAAGAAAAAAGGAGAACGCAACGGGGGTGTTTGAGAAACCCAAAACCATGGTTTCAGAAGCACTTTTCCGTAAAACGAGGTAATCTCCTCCACATATTTACTTCGTAATCCGTAAAAGCACTTCTGAAACCATGGTTTGGTTTCTATCCAAACACCCCCTTACTGACAGTGGCTAATGACAGCTTTTGTTTTCAAGCTATTTATAGACGCAGAACCTAAAAAAGGGGAAATAAAAGACAAATCCCTCCATGGGTGTCAGTTGTCATAGACTGCAACCAATCCCACTATTCCTCTACTGATCACCGCTTATACTCTATATATAGTTTTGGAATCAAGTGCTTACCTCCTCGTGCAGTTTAGTTTGCATCGTATCACAGACATGGTGGTACTTGTCATTCTCTTCTCATCCACCTTTCTCCTACTTTTTTTCTACAGAACAAGAAGAACAAGAGCGCGTCTTCCACCAGGTCCGCCGGGTCTTCCTCTCATAGGCAATTTTCACCAGCTTCTTAGCCCTGAACCACATCGTTACTTGTGGCATCTCTCCAAGCAATATGGTCCTCTCATGTTCCTGCGCTTTGGCGTCAAGCCGACCATAGTTGTTTCCTCTGCCACAATAGCCAGACAAGTCATGAAAACCCACGACCTCGTATTTGCTAGCAGACCATCCTTGCTTGGTCAAAGGAAATTGTCTTACAATGGCTTAGACTTGGCTTTCACTCCCTACGGTCACTATTGGAGAGAAATGAGAAGATTGTGTGTCCTCCACCTGTTTAGTTCCCGACGAACCCAATCCTTTCGTCCCATACAAGAAGATGAGGCTGTGCGAATGATTCGAAAGTTGTCTCAATCTGTTGCATCTCACAGGGTAATCAACTTGAGTGAGACATTGCTATCTTTCACTAGCACTTTGATTTGTAGGATTGCTTTCGGGAAAAGGTATGAGGCAGAAGATGAAGGAGGTGAGAGAAGTAGATTCCATGAACTGTTGAAGGAAGCTCAGGCTTTGATGGCAGAATTTTACTTCTCAGACTATTTGCCATGGCTGGGGTGGGTTGATACGCTCAGAGGACTTACCAGTCGATTGGATCAAACCTGCAAGCAGCTTGACTTGTTCTACGAAAAAGTCATCAAAGATCACATGAATCCAACAACGCCTCATCAAACCGACCAACAAGACATCATTGATATCTTCCTTCAGATAAAGGACGCTAGTTCAACCTCGGTTGATCTCACCTTGGATCACATCAAAGCTTTACTCATGGTAATTAATATTGTATGTCTCCTTTTTTTGAGCTGCATGGATTTATATAGTATTTTTTGTGGGTTATCGATCAAATTATTATGTGTGGATGTAGAACATATTTATAGCAGGAACAGACACGAGTGCAGCGACAGTAGTTTGGGCGATGACCGCATTGATGAAAAATCCCAGAGTGATGAAAAAGGTACAAGATGAAATCAGAAAGTTATATGGGGAGATCAAAGATTTTATACGCATAGACGATATTGAAAGGCTTCCTTATTTCAAAGCGGTGGTGAAGGAGACTCTCAGACTGTTCACACCTGTGCCCTTACTAGTGCCACGAGAATCCATGCAAAGGTGCAACGTAGAAGGGTACGAGATTGAACCCAAGACTCTAGTTTTAGTGAATGCATGGGCCATAGGTAGAGACCCTGAGACATGGGAAGACCCAGAAAAATTTTATCCAGAAAGGTTCTTCAACTGCTCAATAAACTTCAAAGGCCAAGATTTTGAGCTGATTCCTTTTGGAGCTGGTCGTAGGATTTGTCCTGGAATTCAAATGGGAGTAATCAATGCGGAGCTTGCACTTGCTAATCTTCTTCACTCTTTTGATTGGGAATTGCCTGCTGGGATTGAGGAGCAAGACATTGATACAGAGGTCATGCCAGGATTAACCATACACAAGAAAAATGATCTCTGCTTAGTCGCTAAGATCCATGAAACTAAACCAATTTCTAGGCCTATTATTGACATAGGTTTCCAATGTTATAGAGTATGAATAAAATAATACGTGCAGCTAGCCTCTTATACTTTCTTTTTATTTTTATTTTTTTCAACATATATATCAACTATGATAGACGAAACTTGAATTATTCCTTGTATTGTAATTATGTGGAGTTGATTTTCTTTAATATAATTTTCGTTGTTTTGTTGGGAAAAAATATAATTTTCGTTGTCGAAGTTTTAATGTGTCTAAAAATAAAGTGAGGAAATTAAATTCAGTAAATTAAATGGTTTTTTTTAATAAATGTCAAAGTTAATTTGAATTATCTGTGCTTAGTATTCTGTATATTTAATTTTTTTACGTTAATTTTTTTTGTAAAATAATTTGAATATTAAACAATTATCTTTATACGCAACTCAAGTAATTCATTAGAATTGAAAATAAAATAAAATTTCACTAATCAATCACTGTCGTGGTATCTGAGGCTGAGGAATTGAGTTGTTGAGGATCACTTCATTTTGCTAAATCACTGTCGTGTGGGCCAATCGATGCAGGCCTTTAACAGATAAGTCAAAATTTTTGAATCTAGAAAAGCATAAAAGGAAAAACAAAATTATAATTTTAAAAATAATTTTACGATATACAAAATAAATATATAAAGAAGTTTATTTTAAAAATAATTTTTAAAAGTATATTTACGCCCGAACATCTCCTGAACCCACAAAATATTCACTGCAAATTGTGCAAAGCCCAAAAAAATAAAAGGAAATGATCAGGCGCAACGACACGTTCCATATTCATTTACTTGTCTTGGATGAAAATCCTTTGTATTTCAAGCTATGGAACAAGGACAGCTACAGAGATTATGAACCCCGACTCGTGTCGTAGATGGCGACCATTCCTCTACTCTCTCTTCATTTTGTTTTCTTTTCTAATTTTCTTGAGCGTTGGTAGTCACTATTGATATCCCCACTTCAATATATAACTTAGAATCAAGTGCTTAGCTCCAGTCACACACAGACATGTTGGAACTTGTCCTCCTCTTCGTATCTCTTTTCCTCGTAATTCTTATCTACAGAACAAGAAGAACAAGACCACATCTTCCACCAGGTCCTTCTGGTCTTCCTCTCATAGGCAATCTTCATCAGCTTCCTAACTCTGCCCAACATCGCTATTTATGGCTTCTCTCCAAGAAATATGGCCCTCTCATCTTCCTTCGCTTCGGCCTGAAGCCCACCATAGTTGTTTCCTCGGCCAAAATAGCCAGACAGGTCATGAAAACCCATGACCTCGTATTCGCTAGCAGACCACCCTTGCTTGGTCAACAAAAATTGTCGTACAATGGCTTGGACTTGGCTTTCGCTCCTTACAGTGACTATTGGAGAGAAATGAAAAAGTTATGTGCTCTCCACCTGTTTAGCTCTCGGCGCATACACTCGTTTCGTACAATTCGGGAAGATGAGGTTGTGAGAATAATTCGAAAGTTGTCTCAATCTGCTGCTTCTCACAAGGTAATCAACCTGAGCGAAACGATGATGTCTTTCACAGGAACTTTGATTGTAGGATTGCTTTCGGGAAGAGGTATGATTTGGAAGACAGAGGAAGCGAGAGAAGTAGATTTCATGGACTGCTCCGCGAATCTCAGGCCTTGTTGGCTGAATTTTACTTCTCAGATTATATACCATCGTTGGGGTGGATTGACAGAATCAGAGGACTTCATAGTCGACTGGACAAAACCTTCAAACAGCTCGACATGTTCTACCAACAAGTCATCGACGACCACATGAGTCCAACAAATCCTCAAACCGAACAAAAGGATATCATAGATATTTTCTTGAAATGATGAGTGCTCATTCAAATTCGGTTGATCTCACTATGGACCACATCAAAGCTTTGCTCATGGTGATGTTGTCTCCATCTTCTTGTGCTGCATTGATATGGTATCTTTTTAGGGTTACTGATCAATTAATTTCTCTTATGGTGGATGCAGAATATATTTGTAGCAGGAACAGACACGAGTGCAGCGACATTGGTTTGGGCGATGACCTCACTTATGAAGAATCCTAGAGTGATGAAGAAGGCACAAGATGAAATCCGAAAGTTATATGTCATCAAAAAAGATTTTATATATGAGGAGGATATAGAAAGGCTTCCTTATCTCAAAGCAGTGGTGAAGGAGACTCTGAGACTGTTCACACCTGTGCCCTTACTTGTGCCGAGAGAATCCATAGAAAAGTGCAACATAGAAGGCTATGAGATTCAACCCAAGACTCTAGTTTTTGTGAATGCATGGGCTGTAGGAAGAGACCCTGAATCATGGGAAGACCCAGAACAGTTTTACCCAGAAAGGTTCTTCAACTGTTCAATAGACTTAAAAGGGCAAGATTTTGAGCTGATTCCATTTGGAGCTGGACGCAGGATTTGTCCTGCATTGCACTTGAGATTGGCCACCGTGGAGCTTATGCTTTGCCAATCTTCTTCACTCTTTTGATTGGGAATTGCCCTCTGGAATTAAGGAGCAAGACATTGACGCAGAAGTCGTACCAGGAATAACAACGCACAAGAAGAACGATCTTTGCCTGATTGCCAAGAACCATACAGCCCCCCCACGTTCGCACCTACTAGGGTCAGCACAGGTTACAGTATGATTCAAAATATCTGTACGGCTCGCTCAAATTGAATTGTGATGGAGGAAATTTGTGTTTGTCGCATTATGATCATGTGGAGTTAAAAATATCAGAGAAGTACAGGATAAGCAGGTGAGATAGACGTACACAATTATGTCAGGGCAACGTAGAAGCCTGTGTCTTGTTATTTAAAGTTTGTGTCGTGTTTGAATCAACCCAGTGTAATGGTTTATCAAGATCCCATATTGACATAATGACATTATCACTTATGCCGAATTTGTTTAACCTAAAATAATCATTTAAACGTCGATCGAGATTAATGAAGAAGTTATTTCATCAGCAGTAGTTTTCATCGGTTTAAAGATCTTTATGATAGAGTATCTAATTAGTGCTAGAGCATTTAAATGATTTATCAAAATGAACACGGGAACATTAGCATGACCTCTGATTATTTATGCGACGATAGTAAACTGTGTGTTACGAAAGATACGTTCGGATTCTGAAGTTTGGTTTTGTTGGAATCGTACGTAGTTAGTCGTTTGTTACTGTTATAAGTTGGGCACAAGTCAGAGCAGGGGAGCCAGGCCGAAAAGTGTTGGGGGATGAGGCTAGTGAGGTGTAAAATTAATACACACTTAAGCATATAGGTTTTTTTTCCCCTGAAGACTAATGGTAGACGTTCTATTAATCCAGGAGGCGAGGGTAAGATCCAAAAATTAAAGATGATTTTCTTTGGCAGAAATTAAAGGTGAATTCAAAAGAAGTTCCCTATTATATTACAATAATTTAGCTAATCATGAGTGTCAATATCAACATATAAAATTTACATCAAGAACTATAATTATGATCCAAATAATATAATATTAGCTTGAAGTGTAGTCGAGGCATAAAAACACAGAAAATACCCATGTGGATTTATATTATATTTGTAAAATTTGTAATATGATTTAAAATAGATATCTTTTTCTTTGATGCACAGGATAAATACTAACAATTTAATGGCTTTTAAAATATTTTATTTATTTCTTTTAGTATTTAAAACTTCAAAAATGAATAAAAAATGAAACACGTACAAAGTGGGGACGGTTGGAGGCGTCACCGGAATATTATATCTGTTTTTTTCAAATTTTATATTGTTTTTGCCAGCTAAATTTATATTTTTCAGTAGACTTTTATGAGAAAAAAATCAAACGCCCCCTGTGATGAGCAACTTTTTTTTTTTTGGGTTTGAACCAACGACGTGACCCAAGTGATGAGTGGAAGCCAGGGTTTGAGTGATATACGTGCCAGAATCGTCCTCTGTTTTTGCCGCGAGACTACTCCCTTATCTTAAAGCAGTGGTGAAGGAAACCCTGAGACCATTCCTTCCTTCGCCATTAATTTTCCCACGGGAATCAATGGAAAGATGCAATAGGCAACAGAGAGGGCTACCAGCACTACCAGAAAAAAGGCTTTTAACGGCGGTTTTGAAGGCGTGGTTGTTAAAGACGACGTTGAAAGGTAAGGAAAACACGGCGGTTATAAACCGCCGTGGAAAGTGGACTTTCCACGGCGGTCAAATATAAAACTGCCGTGGAAAAGGGTTTTAACGGCGGTCATATGTATAACCGCCGTTAAAATTTTTTTTTTTTAAAATTCTGCGAAATTTTCGTGTTTACCACCCTGCAGTTTACAGCTCCAAACAAATGTAGGCAGTGCAGATCACGCAGAACAAGATCAATTAGCTAGTTAATATACAGCAATGAAATTTTTTTTACACAATTCGAAAATAGGGAAACCGGCCAATATAATAGAACTAAGTGGTTACCAAGGAACACGTATTGGCTAGGTCCAACAATTCTGAAATAAAAGTAACTACTTCTTTGTACAATGGAAATCATGAACAACATAAGAGGGAACTGAGACAAAGCATCTAACAATGAATTTTTTGACAAATAACCTATCTATCTATTTGAAAGCTAAATTTCAATTTTTTCTACCAATGTTGTTGACAAAGTGTCCCTCATCAAGTTGATGTCATCCATAAGATATGACGCAGTATTTTGAAATATCTGTTAATCAAAAATAACATAGTAAACTTAGTCAAAAATGTGAAATAAATTGAAGAACGTCATGCAACGTAACTCATCTTTACCTCGTCTAATTTCTCTGTCATTGCTGTCTCAATTATGTCATTCATGTAGCGGATGACATAATATCCACACTCAACATGTCCTTGTTGACAACGGTACTAAAAAAATAAGATATAAAATTGAATATTAAACATTATTGATTATAAACATTGACTTTAATTCATCAAAAAATGTTTAAAAGTTAGTTCAAAACAACATATACCTGTGGAAGAATCCATGTTGGTGCTTGTCTATTTTGTTTAATCGCCACGACATTAAAACTATGAAAAGCCCTATCAACATTATAAGAGAAAAT